TACACTTGACAATTTTCGCTACAACTTGCAACATGTGTGATATCTTTCCCCCTCCCCAACTTATAACTCTATCTATGTTTACAATCTCACTCCCCCACGACACACACTAGTAACAATAACACTTTTACACCATTCAAAATTTTAAGTTTTAGTTTATTTTCATAAAAAGTTTCACACATTGAGGCAGAGATCAGGTTTTTGCAAATAATATGATTTCCACTCAAAAATACCCCATCTACAAAAACATCTGTTGGTGAGTAATTCCCATTCTTTGTTTATTGCTTGGTCTTGTTGATGAAGAACACAGGCGTGTCCAAAAATTCCAAACTTTTCTGTCAGATGGTTAATAATTAATATTTAATAAAAGTTTATTGTACTGATTATATTGGTAACCTTTTGTCTGTCTTTGTTTTATTAACTAACTGATCTATTTCACACACACACAGACACAGACACACACAGACACAGACACACACAGACACAGACACACACACACACACACACACATATATATATATTGCATATATTTTGGCAGCATATTTTAATTAAGACATGTCTCACTGAATAATTTGACAAGTTTTGTCTACTTATTTTCAGTAGTATCCTCTCATATTCATGGACAAGCTTCTTAGTATTCTTATTAAAGGAGGAGAGAAAATTACCATGTTGATACATAGTCATTTATTCTGAGCACTTTCGACAATAACACAACATCATCATCATGGTGTTGTTTTTTCTAAGACAAAATTATTGTGTTCATCTGAAAGTTAAATTTCTTTTTCTTTTAATTGTGAAGTGAAAAAATGCTAAGATTATGTAATGTATGATTTAAATTTCATGATGCAAATGTCAGGGGAGGTAACTAAGTTTTGAAATGTCTGTAATTTTTTTTTAAATTGCTATGTTCATCTGAAAGATATAATTTTACATGTGGAGTGAGGACTGCTAATTTTTGTGTTATGTGCCGTATGTTTACGCTCCAGGGGAGTTAACTAAATGATATGTCTAACATCTCTAAATATTTACAACAAAATGCTTGTTCACATTCACAATTTAGAAAAATTCTTGTCAAAAATTCATCCGTAATTTTTCATGAAAATAATAAACATAAACTAAAAATCCTTAAAGCTATCTATATAAAAATTGAAACCAAACCTTAACAAAATTAATTATGAATACTGTATAAATGTTCTAAAATGTTTACAATAGATAGACTAAAATATCAAGGTCTCTATTAATAGTTTCTCATACTACTTTCTTTTTTTAAAAAGAACTGTTCACATATCATAATTAGTTACCTCCACTACAGCGTAAACATACACCGCATGGCACAAAAATTATCGATCCTCACTCCACACATAAAATTATATCTTTCAGATGAATATAGCAATTTTGTCTTTGGAAATAATGAACACTACATTTTTATCTTAAAAACACACCCTGAGGATGACATTGTGTCAATGTTGAAAGTACTCAGAATAAAAACAATATGTATCAACACAGTAATTTTCTCTCTTCTTTTAATACCACCACTAAAAAGCTCATTTGAGAAAATGTCAGATCCTATTGAAAATAAACAGACAAAACTTGTCTAAATTATTAAATGAAATGTGCCTCAATGAAAACATGCTGCCAAAATACACACAATATATGTGTGTGTGTATTTGTATTCCTGTGCTTGTGTGTGTAAGTGTGTGTGCATGTACAGATCAACACACTCATACAAACATAGTTATAATTTTTTGTTTATATACATATTATAGAACAATCCTTTAAATAAACTGAACAAATAGAAATTAAAATTTAATATTCATTGTTTGCTAAGTTTCAGGAAATTATTTCCATTTTTTTCTGCACAACTTGGAGTTTGAATTTAGTTCATGTGAGCAGTAATATCTGTTCTCTTCATGGCTTAAGTTAAGTGTCATGTTAAGAAAATTATCTGTCAAAAACAGTGCAAAAATGAAATAAAGAATATATTGCAGGATTAATTACCATTTTTAAAATTAAAATCAGAAGAATTCAAATGTCATGTTAACACACACATATTTTAAAAGCAGTCCCATAATGAATAGTGAATATATCAAGTTTTCTTTTGTCATCAATTTTTACTTTTAAGAATGCAATTTCAGGATTTATTCTGATTAATATACCTTAAAGCACCTGAGTAAATCCTCAATTTATGGCATATTCTTAAATATCTAATGTGTGTGTGTGTGTGTGTGTGTGTGATCATGTGCTCAGCTGGCTGAGTGGGTGTGTTGGAAGTGTTCTTAAAGATTAGAATATTGTTATTACCATTTTTATAATTTTTACTAATTTATTAATATTTAAATTAATGAATTATTCAAACCTTATTTCTCTTTACAAATTAATAGAAAAATGGTTTCTATATCATTTTCCTGATGTATTCTATTTTTTAAAGTCTAACCTTCCTATTTGCTTGATGATTTCAGTGAGTGTTGTAATTTATTTCTAGCAATTATATTGACTTTATTTAGAAATAGAATGTTATTTATATCATGAAAGGAAATTTGATACAAGATGCACTTCACAAGACACTTATTTGTAAGATCACCTGAAGGGAAGAAATATTACTCATGGAAATATTAAGGATTTCTGTGTATTTTTTAAAAACAAAACAAAAACAGATCAAACCAATAACAAATTATGTTGTTGATATTTCTACAAGTTTAGCCCTGTGTGGAGGCAGTCACCAACAATTTATAAAAATCTTAAGAAAAAATATTTATATTGAAGGAATGTGAATAATTTATCATCTTGAAGAGAGCGCAGTAGCATTTATTTTTTTCAACAATTTCTTCAATAATTTATTAAAATTTTTCAGAATGTTGTCAACTCATATTTAAAAGTGATAATAATTCTAATATGAATATATGCTTAAAAGCTGGATTGAAAATATTCTCAGCTTAATTATTGATTTTAGGAAATATGTCTTTTTTTTTAAATGAATATTTTTGTTATTAAATTAATCTAAATTTATTATAAAAATACATGAATTGCATAATGCTGTTAGTAATAGATAAAAATAATAATTGATAATAAATGAATGAAAATAATTAATGAATAGATGTATTATTCATTTCAGTAATTTTCATGAGTAAATATGAAAAATAGAAATAAACATATAAATGTAATACAAAACTACAGAAATAATTAGTGTCACTTAAAATAATAGAAAACTAGATTCATTGATAAAATTGGTGATGATGATAATGATTGTGATGATGATGATAATAATAATAATAATGATGATGATGATAATAATAATATTAATAATAATAAAAACTGCATTAATAAATGTTTATATTTCTTATTTAGTGTACTAAATAATGCTAGAAATGTAAACGTTTAAAATATAAATGGGAAACCATCTCCTCAATATTCAACCTTCAAAGAAATCTCTACTTTGAAATGGTGCAGACATTTCATTAATAATATTTTTCTTATTTAAATTGTTATGTTTTGTTTATACATTCTTTTTGTGATATTTTATGTTATTATCTTTGTTATCCTCAAGTTGATCTCTTTTTACTATTTGTTTATTACTATAACTCAGCAACAACTATTTATTTTGTTTTTAACACATTTACAAACAAAAAATATCTAAAATCTTGATTTGACTACTAATATCAACTTATTGTTTTCAGAATTTTTATTAATATCTTTTACAAGATTTTATAAATTTTTCTTTTTTCTATATTTCCTTTTGGTTCATTTTTATTTTGTCATGTTTATAGCAAATTATTTCTAGTCTTCATCCAGAAATTCACATAATCAAAAATACAATAACAAACAGAAGTGTTACTGACAAAATATATATATGTAAAAAAAAAATGTAGTATTGAAAGTAATTTTAAATACTAAAATATATATTCATTACAATTCAAAAACAGTGGTGACATAATTTTAGATATATTTTAATCTTAAAATATTTCTTCAGTGTTGTTATCCAAGCATTTATGCATTTATTTAATATATCATTGATGAACTTCCTTAAATGATATTCATTTATTTTCAAATATATATTTTTATGGTATAAAAACGACAAGGCAGTAGTATAGCTGTTTTGTTTACTGATAAAGCCCTTTGTCTTTTGTGATTAATATGGATGTTTTTAAAACAGATGTATTGAAAATTTTAACATGTGATGATTTGGGAGGATTATAAAAATCTTGATAATTCTCTTCATGTTCTTTTAATTTTTCCATTTATCAATGATTGAAAATGAAAAATCGAAAAACTTATATGATAAAGGAAAAAAAATAGCCAAAAAACAAAAACCAAAAAATAAAAATGTTTAATGTTTTCGCTGCGCATGGTTTCCTCCCTTGATAATTACAGGTTACGCGCCTTTTTATAAAGCTTTATTCTGGAAAATAAAAAAGTGAATTTTAGTGTCAAATTTTCAGGTCAGAGCGCAACGACTATAACGAATATGCTTTTGATATTTCCCTTTTCCTTGTTTTTGATTTGTGTTTTACTAAAAAAACAAAAAACAAAAAAAAAAAAAAACAACCCTCAAACAATACAATGTTCAGACATCGCAGTTCCAACGTCTCATCATGAAAGTCATTGTAGGTCACGGCACCAGATTTGTATTAAGTCCGAATGTTTATTCAAATTTCTTTCGTTTTCTTTTTTTTTTCTTTTTAATAATTGATTAAAATATTTTAATTTAATCAAAACATTATTATTATTATTATTTCATCGATGTTCATTTTTTCTCGTTAAAACAACCGCATTACAGTTTTCAGTCATCTCTAAAGAGATTCTTCATATGATTTTAATTTATTTCTTTTTTATAACGAAAACAGCTTTAAAGAAATAGACACAATAATTAAATGAAGAAATTTAAAAAGTTAAAAAAAAACAAGAATAACAAAAAAGATAAAAATATAGAACTATATATTTTTATATATATATATATATATATATATATATATATATATATATATATATATTATTAATGTACACATTTATTGTCCGGCATTAGTCAAGCTTTCTTGACTATTAGACTTTCGCTTCCAGGCGTGTTTCCAGATATTGGACAGACACACGGTCGAATGAAAACGGAAGAAAATGATGAGAGGAATTGCAATGTGCGTGAATATGTTCCATGCTAATACGCCATAGAAGCGCATTTGAGCAGGGTTGAACTCTGACCTGTGGATTTCAAAAGTGTTGACCCCCCACATAGCAATGTTGCATACCATAAGGAAGGTAATGAATTCGCGGCCTGTCTTCCGCTTCTGCAGCTGCGGAGTGTGTGCGCTCCTGCGCATACCGTTCAAAATGAACATGGTCTGCAGCGAGGATTCGAACATAGCCAGCACACTGGATAGCAAGATGATCAGTCCACTCTGGTCTATCCCTTCTACACCGATAGCTATTATACTCAAAAACCCGAAAATATATTCGCCAGGTAACGAAATGATGAGTAGTATCTCCTCTAGGGACAGCTCCTCTTTCGCTGTAAAGCGCAACTCGCGCATGCGTATAAATGCAAGTATCAGAGCAATGGCGGCAATAACATTGAGCACGACCTGGGAGAGATGTTCTAACTGAATGGCGGCGTCCATGTAGGACGGCTTGTTGATGAGCATGAAGAAAACTATCATAGAGATCACGGCTGACACCAATAGGAAGATGCCCATGAAAAGTCCGCGACTGGACGATGAACAGTCCACACTTAATTTTTGGGAACGTACTTTTGCTTCTCGTTGACTTTCTTCGTCGCTTGACTGATAAAGCAAACGTTTGCCAATGTTTGTCCACATTGTGTACAGAATACCTGTAAATAGATATAGGTAAATCATTATAATTTAAAATTGAAATATACAAAAGATCAAAGAATTAGTCTTAGTGGATCAGAGTAGGCAATAATGTAATTTTGTCTTTAATGAAACAACTATGCAAGGAAGAGATTCGTCGAGATTCCGACCGGTACAAAATAAATTATATTGCCAAACTTCTAGATGCTATTTTAGTTCTTTCGAGCAATGGAAAAGACACTGGAACTGTTCGAGAAAGGTTAAGAAGAATCTTGTGATGATAAGAAAGTAACTATACGTAAAGATTTGCGTCTAAAGAAATGGGCGTCCGCTTGTTCAGAAATAATTCCTTTGAATACAGAAAACAGCCAAGCTTGATTTACTACTTTCTTTTTTTACATACTTCCACTTACCATTGTGTGAATAAACGATATCATCACACTATTGTTTAATTTAACAATGACAAAGAAATTAAATCTTATACAACATCAACCAATTTACTCTTAAATACTAAAAGAAATGAGTTAAAGTGGTGAGAAAGGAGCGTTCTAGAAGGCGACTTTTATTCAAAACGCATGTAATAAAATACAAAATTGTAGACTTATAAATTCTAACATCTAAATAATATCAAAAGAATGATATCCAGTGTATGATATTGGTCACATGGAAGAACATGTCTCAGGATGAAGTGGCAATTCTGTTGGTAGGTCACTGAAACAATCCCTAATTACTTTATTGTTAGTAAATCTGATCTATTCTGAAAAATTCTTGTTCAATACAAAATGTTATGAAAAATGAAATAACCGTCAAAATAATATTATTTTTTTATTTATTGTAATTGTTAAAATACAAGAAAAAATCAAGATTTAGGTATATTCAAGGAAATCTAATTAAAAATGATTTAAATTCAACATTTGGCATTCATTTATTCAATGTATACTATTTTTAAAAATATATATTTAAAATTTATTTCATTTTGTGAAGAATTATGGATTTAAATCGTGTGTGGGAAAATGTCAATTCTGGATGCAAATAATACTTTCATGCTGTAGTCACTTTTTTATTCAGTTTCATTGATTTTGTGACGTAACATTTATGGTCAGAAAAAAATGTTACTTCTTTTTGGTTTAGTTAAATGGAAAAATAGGTTAAAAAATGCCAGTTGACATAATACTTTTCCTTCGTCGTATCGGTATAAAGATAGAACACTTCAACATGGTGTAATGTTTAACAGCCTATTACAACTGAGTAGTGAGTTCGATCCTCATTGGGTGGTCCATACTTTCGGCCTTGTGCCACATCTAAGCTACGCTTAGTAAATCGCTATCGGTATAAAGATAAATAAACTGAAGTGTCAAAAAATTACAGATAGTACAATGGATTGTTTCTACTTGTAGAAATTGACTCAGCCGGATGATAAATTATATGCCGCAAATAGGTAAAGAGGTAGTGTAGCTGTGGAAGTCATGAAATGTGAACAGAATTTGACTGAAGAATGATTTTTGAAGCCAGAAAGATGGGACACTCTATATGTGAAGTTCGACTGTTCCAGGGTTTTCATTAGCAACAGTAACAAATGTTACCTCGATAGATTTACCTACTCATCGACTTCTTGCCACATCAGGTAACCGTAGTTATTCAGGCGAAGAGCTAAAAGTTAGTTGTCACTAAATTTTGGCACTTCAGTTTATATATAGAAAGAAATATTATATAATTTATTTGTAAACGGCAAGTAAAATAACTATGCAGCTCTAATATTCCAAGTTAATCAGGCATTAAAATTAGTATTTCGACACTGAAATTCTAGCACATAAGCTCAAACATTAAGTATGGATGTCAGAGAAACTTATTACCACCTCTGTAATGAAGACGGCGTGAAGGAGATAAAAACAAGCACAACATATATGTGTGTGTGTGTGTGTGAGTGTGTGTTTATGTGTGCGTGAGTGTGTATATATGTAGAGTGGGAGAGGGAGAGAGAGTGCGTGTGTATGTAGAGAGAAAAAAGAGAAAGGAAGTGGTGTGCGGCGTAGAAACAGTGATGGCTATGTGGAGAGAGAGAGAGAGAGAGAGAGAGAGAGAGAGAGAGAGAGAGAGAGAGAGGAAGTGGGCGTTGTGTAGAGGCTTGTATAGAAAGCAATGGACGGTAGGAAGAAGTAGCTGCTTTCAGACATCAAACTATAGAAAAATAAAAATGAATCCTTCTTAAAATAGCCCCGCCAAAAAACAAAACGAAAACAAAAACAGAAACAAAAAAACAGAATAGAACCAAACAGAAAATTAGAGATAATAAGAAATTCAGTTTTCAATAGCGACATATTCATGAAGTGTTTTTAGTAAAAAGGCAAAACTGACGCATCATCCCTCCCCCCAAAAAAAACAAAGGACATTGTTATTTGCTTAGTTCGTCTGCTTTCGAAGACCGGCCTAATTTATACATTCAACCGAATACGTGTATATTGTAAATCATACTTATTATACAACCCAGGTGTGTGTGTGTGTGTGTGTGTGTGTGTGTGTGTGTGTCTGTACGTTTATATATTGGATCGGATTTCCTACATTTTTCAACCGATTTCAACAAAACTTCACAGGACGACGTAAAATTACCTTGCGGTGGTTCTGACATCGCCAAAAATTGGAAAAACACAATTGTTTTTGCACGAAATCAATTTGAAAACACGATTAAGAGGCATCGCTAGAATGAAAGGGAGACAACTCATATCGAGTTATACTTATTATAAAACCCAGGTTGTTTGTGTGTGTGTTTGTTTATATATGGGATCGGATTTCCTACATTTTTCAACCGATTTAAACAAAACTTCACTTTTTTTTGGCAGGTATTGTTTCTTATTGTCTTGCACACTTTTTCTTTATTTTTAGATTCAGAATGCTTTAAAAATTCCATTTACAAGACAATTGTTTATAATAAAATTCTATTCAATTGGTAGACTCATAACGATTGAAAACAATGTTTTGGTTTGACCAATTCGTAAAAAAACAAAACAAAACAAAAAAACTAATTAAGACATGCGTGTCCGTCAACCTTAAACAATAATCTTTGTCAATTTTATTTTTCAGTCTTTTTTCAAGTCGATACTTGATCTATCCCTTACTGTTACATCCCCGGGCAACGCCGGGCTCTACTGCTAGTCTGTAATAATTTGTATAGTTACTAAAAATGCATAATTTTCTTTTCAATCGGTCTTTAAGTCCATCTGTTTTGAGCGCATGAGCTATCAGGTCTTTTGACTGAAATGTTTTTGCTAGAAGAAGATTTTTTACTATATTTTATTTGAAATACTTTATTTACGTGGAGAACATCAATAAAACTTAGGTTGAAGGATCTTCTCGTCGAAGTATAAGATTACGCTTTATCTGAATAGCAATCAGTTTGATCAAATATTTATAAAAATAAAACAAATTTAAGGTTATTCTCTTCCTTCCGAGTTTCATAGAATCTACGTACGTATTGGAATCACTCAAGCAATAGAGATTTTGCTTTTGAATTTGTTGATGTTACATTTGCTCCGAAATTGAATTCGCTATTAAAATGAACTGAAAGTTGAAATCGTGTTGATGTTTTGTGATATTTGGTCATGGGAAAGTTTATGAAAATTATGAAATTTATAATTGGAAAGTAAACATATATCTAAATATTTAATATGTTTAACATTATTAACATGTAAACACACTTACATTAATAATATCGACACACGGAAACAACTTCAACTTTGTTGCTAAGAGGAGATATCATTGAAAAAAATATTGAGATATTTTCTTTGTCGGTTGACTGAAAGAAAGATTCATAAAAGAGAATCAAGAAAATCTTTCTATTAGTTTTTAGTTGACTTTGAGAGAAAGAAGCTGCACAAAGATGTAAAGGAGAAAAATAAATAGAGTAGTATAAATAAAAAAGAAACTTACATATATAGTAGAAAAAAGGTAGAAATATAGAGAAGGAGAGAGAGAGAAGAGGAGGAGAGAAAGTCAGAAGAAGAAGAAGAGAGGAAAGAAGGAAAAAACACGAAAGGTATTAAATGTATGTAAATTGCTGTCAAACGTGAATATTCAATTGAGAGACAAAGAAATAAAAAAAAAACGATAAAAGGATTTTATAATACTGACCTGCACAAATTAGGCTGTATTGTATACTGCAAGGATAAAGGTATGGGGCAGCATCTTCAACCACTTTGCTCATCAGGCTCGTTTCCAAACACTGCGGATCATTGACAATATCAGGACCCACATTAACACTAGTGTTGATCCCGCCTACAGAGGAAACAAGCACGCTCAAGTCACCTACAAAGATACATGGTTTAAGGAACACAACTTTAGTGCTCATCACTCCGCTGCACCGGGATTAGCCAGATTTCACGGCGCATGCAATGATTGCAAATGCCATTTGCTTATCATTACTGATCGGCGCTTTCTCCTCATGAACATAAGATGAGATATGTGATTGAATGAAGGACAAATAGAAGAACAAAGAAAAGATTACAGGTTGATAAATAGAACACATAGAACACATAGAACACATAGAACACATATATAGAACACACTGATCCTTTTGTCGGAAATCTGTGGAATCGTGTCAAATTCTTCGTCCATTTTTTTATCAAACACATTTAAACAAACAACAATATTTTGGTAGAAGATGGATTGAGAGCCGTCATATTTTAAAATTATAGCAATTGGATGGATCTAAAGCGGACAAACAAAAATAGTGTAACATTTAGGCCAATTAACAGATGATACATTTGATATCGATGTTTTATTTCGTGCCCAGATTTTATGGGTTATTATGTAAAACTTTTAAAAGACAAAATATAGACTGATTGCTTTATCGCCGGAAACGTCAATTGTCAATTGGGCTAATATAAAGTAAGCAGAATAATTAACTGATGTCATTGTAAGAGATATTTACCGACCTCGAATGCAATACAATTCATTTATAAGCGATGGAAACTCAGAATTTGCAACATGATAAAATGACAAAGAAATCTGACATAATTGAACAAAATACCAACAGAAAATAGGTTCAGTGTTTTGCATTCACAGTAATGAAAACAATATACTCAAATATGGACAATTTAAGAATAAAAAGTAGAGTAGGACAGAAAAATAAAAAGTTCAAAACAAAATTTGAATAACATTTAATTACATAATTTATATATCTTCTATATTCGTGGAAATTCTTTAACCCGCTCATATAGCTTTTTTTTCCACAAAGTAAATATATAATGTATTTTTTAAAACTTTTGCCAACGCTATCTAACATACACTGAGATGAAATCAAGTCACGTTCAAATATGATATGTCCCAGTACTGTTGCTAAAAAAGTCGCAAATATCTGCCGATCTGAAGGCTACAGCGGAGGATAAAAAAATGACATTCTTCTAAAAATTGGAAAGTGAAAAAATATTTTCTTCTTCGATTACAAAGGCTATTCTAGTGTACATGTGTTAGTTTTTGTTGGTTTCTATTCACAGCTAGTAAATGATTCGCCACAAATCATGCCCATTTATATTTTTATAAATTGTCAGTGCGTACTGACACTCAATTTACAATATTTAAGAGAAGCGTATAAAATCACAAAAGTTAAATTCAAGCAAAAATGTCCGTTGTGCAAAACTTATATAAAGACACACACAAAATGTTTATATTCATTCAGAGTTCCATATTAGATTTAAGTAATAGATAGCTTGCACATAAGATACAGAATGCATGTTTGGTCATAAAAACAAAGTATTCACAGAAAGTTTATAATACTGGATCGATTACTTGTAAACACACACACATTATGTTATGCTTTCTGCAATGCCAAAACAAATAATGTTTTCCAGTGTTGCATACTTGACATTAACTAAACACATCTATCAAAGACTAAATATGCCATCCTACGTATTTTATTTAACAAACCAAACGAAACTTTTTGTCATCCAATAGATTTAGTAAGCTTAGCTTGCAGTTGGATACCTTGTTAGGATCGAACCCACTAACAATGGTTAAAATACTAAACCAGTAAACATTGCATTATCATCCTATTTATTTTTTTTTTACTCTTTGAAAACAATGAAATACCTTTGTTTAGTTTAGGAGAATAAACGACGTCTATTATGACGAGATAGACATTTAAAAAATATCAGACTCTACGAACAATGGTGTTTGTTTCTCTCTCTCTCTCTCTCTCTCTCTCTCTGTGTGTGTTAATTGTACGGCATTTGGTTGAAAGTTATTTTCTTTGAGTTGGTTAGAATACAATTTCCTTCCTTTGGAACATTGACAGTATAATTCTTAGAATTTCCATTTTCAACCTCATATTCAAGCAACGGGTTTTTCTGTTGTAACTGAATGTGTAAACATCAAACATTTAAATAAGAAACAACAAATACTTGTTCTATCTTCTAATTTGAATTGTGTAGTCATTAGATATGTCTCTTTGTGTTGTTTTGTTAAATTTTAAGACTTCAAGAATGCCTTTTCATTTTTCTTCTCGACCCTTTCTGGGCCATTTGGAAAGAAAGATGAAACGATATGGCAATTGATATGGTAATTTTGGAACGTTGAGATGATAATCTTACACTTTCCCATTATGAAGCTGATTCATTTTAAGACTGGTTATCGAAACCTATTCACATTACTTGAACATACTTGATAATACAAAAATAAATAATCAATTGGTGAATCGAGTCTACCAAAGTATTCGCTGTAGCTATTTATATTAGTTAAATGTTAACAACAAAAACTCACAAAATCCAGTGAAACTGGTGCGTGCATGAAAATATTCTATAAAATATAGTCACTTCTTTGAACAATAAGTACAATAAGATTCACAAAAGCAGACAAGCATATTGTCAGATAGACCCGTAATTAGCTGAACATTTGGTAACAACGGGTATTGCACACATCAGCCAGTAGCTCACACATTCATACAAAAACGTGCAATGTCAAAGCTTGGACAACTAATCATAACAAAAGGCAGTATTTAGATGAACATACAAGGAAGTGTATAGGTAACATATTAGAGAATGTATAATGTGATACCACCAAACAATTCAAAACAAAATTCACAGGGTTGCTACTGCAGAGAAATGAATAATTATTCAACCAAGTTGGAATAGACCTAATCATAAAAGTACTACCGGTAAAGATAGTGATGAAATAAAAAAATAGAAGACCCAAACAAATAAACAAAAAACGTAGAGGCCGGGGGACGGGAAATGGGTAGGAATTAATGAAGTGTTTTGTGTTTCTTACAGAGTTACAAATAAATTATAAGCCATGTCCCTTCCAGACATAAGTTCATCACAGATTCATTTGCGCCTGTGAATTGCCATTTGTTCTTGGGAAATATATTGGAGTGGCTTCTTGTTGCCTACTACACGGTTTGGAGTGCACAGTAATCATTCTCTTAAAACTATTGCTACTTAAGCCTGTCTACTCTGCTATTTAATACATAGTTGCGGCGTAGAAGAAACGTATTAATGCCTTTCCCAATTATTTCTAATTAAATGTAAAATCGAAGCGCCATCTTTGTTTGGTTTTCCTTTTGTAGAGATCTATCTATCTATCTATCTATCTATCTATCTATCTATCTATTTATCTATCTATCTATCTATCTATCTATCTATCTATCTATCTATCTAATGACTGAATGAGGAACAAATAGGAAATCTTTATAGATTTGATATATTATATTCAGATTTCAGCTAACTGCCTAGCTACCAGGTTCTGTAAACTGTGTTAGTGCCGAACATAGTGTCAATCATATTCATGAAATTTGTTTAAATAGCGAAGTCATTGATACCATCACTAATGAAAAGCGATTGGTCACTACACTATAAATTTTAATTGTGATATTTATTCACATAGACATTTTATAAGTACAAGCAAAATAGTCTCTAATTCCAATGTAATTATAAAAAGTTGCTAATGCAAACACTTGGTTCTATCCGAAGTAATGACTTACATGCGTCGATATGCGTCACCGGACCTCATAAACTAATTGGATTTAATTGATTTCATATTTAAATTTAGAAATAATTTATTTTATTTTATGTATTTAAATGAATTTAGATTATTATATTTTAACGCAAAGTCTCATACGCATTCATACAAACAGCTGAATTGTATAATTTAATATGGAATTTACTATTTCTGTCAATAGTTTCAAATGAAATGAAAATAGTTATATTCAGGAACTTCTTAATTTCCTTCATTAATTGCTGGATTATTTGTAAGGTTGGTTTTCTTTATTTTTATAATTATAGTGTGGAAGGGGGATTTTTTATACGGAAAATACCGAAAATATGAAACAACAATGATTGGAGTAAACGGTTAGCCATAGGCTTTGATGAAATGTAGAAATGATCAAGAACTTTATTATTATAAAGGTGTGTGGGTATCATGGACGTTGATGAGTGTTAAAAAGTAAAACAACAAAGAAGACTGACATGCTTTGTTAATAGTTATGATCATAATGATGATGATGATAAGGATGCATCTATTAAATTCAATCTAATATCCTCATCTTTATCGGCATTTCTTTAAAAAATAAAGTGTTTATTTTCCTATGCATCTGGTTTTATGGCTGTTCGTAAAGAAGAAATATTTCTATTCAGCGATAACTGTTAGATATTTATTACACGTGGATAAGACAAAGATACACGCCCAAGATTGACTTCTGTGAGTATGAGGTAAAAATTTTGAAACAATTTTCTTGATGAAATTGTTCTTTGGCGAGCAACCATTTACAATATCTTATCAACCCACTTCCATGTATTGGATTGTAAGCGAAGACAACTGACGCAGTAGCACTCTGAACCTCTTTATCCACGATTCATTGTATTATGTTGGTGATATGAATGACAACGAGACGAGGAGTGTCTACAGTCACAATTTGATGCAGTTGTTTTTGCTTTTCTCAACACTATTACCAGAAGATAGCTTTCCTGCTCTTTAAGCTTGTTAATAAAGATTCCAGATGAGATATTATAAACACGTCTACCCAAATAGATACCTTGAGCAATACTCAAAGTATCTATTTAGACATACGTGTTAATGAAACAAATTAATAATGAAAGTAATAAAAACCTATTCGCTTAAACGAACTCGTATTGTTGTAGGTTCACATTTCATTTTTACTATATCACTGTCTTTTTATATTAAAAAATATTAATAATAGCATACTGTGTTTTATACATTATCATATCATTTATTAAGAAATTCATCATAATTATTATTAAAGATGAGGATATTAGTCTAATTGCGCCTCATAAACATCGCAAATATCTGATAAATATGGGCATGAGTGCTTGGTGAGTTTCCTTACCGTTGTCTGGATTGAAGGAATATTCAGAACCATTCCCACTTCCGGCTGTCACATATGTCAAAGGCTCGGCTTCCGGCATGGTGTGGGTAGCCCCTTTTTTAAGGCTCATATGTTCGTTGATCTCCCGGATGGTCTCCTTCACTAACTCACGACACCAGACGCTCAAGTTGGTGCCCACCATGTGCATCAGACCGAAGCGTGCAATAGCTTTATAGCTTTGAATACACATCTGGGTTTCAGGATGAAAAAGAAGACAATAGAAAAGCAAAAGTGCAAAAAAAGTAAAGCAAGTGCATTTTTACACTAATTGACAAATTAATAATCGTACGGGTGGAAATAGTGTTTCGGCCGCCGTTTCCACACTTACACAAAACAGGTTTACTCCAATAAAACACATCAGACAAGCTCACACATAAACCCAGCAGCAGAAATATTTTATTTTTCCTTTCTGGTTTAAGTGAAGAGTGAAAAGGAATACTAAAGAAATCAAAGGTGAATTGAAATCATATATGTGCAACATGAGAGACGAAATCAGTTTTTAACGGATAGGTATGGGGACTCAATATTTTTCTTTTAAATGAATTAATAAAGAGAAAGCATAACAACAGACAACATGACTGATAGAATCACAGGAAGAAGGTTAACGTTGTGCCAACAAATAGCCGATTGCTAAAGTCCGCACATCGTACGATAATAGATTAAATTTAGTTTTTGTGCTTTCTTCAGCACAAAACTGACAACAAGTAATGTGATACGAATTTCCGGGGAGAAGCGAAATGCTCCTTTCCAACACAACTCATTTACCAGGTATGTTTCACCATATTGCAACTACAAATCTGACTGGTAACTCTTTTGACCGTTTTAAAAAATGCGACTGTCCTATCGTCCATATTAAGTCTTTCCTTTGATCCTGACTTTCTCTTGGACGGCTTTTCGAATTAGATTGTGATTGATTAACTTCTCACGACATGAAATTTTCTTCGCCTGAAATCAGAAGCACTTCCAATTTTCCAGTTGCCTTTCACATCATTTACAGCTTCTACTTGCTTTTTCGACTTTTTATTGTCTCTAGGGACACCAACTCTACTTTCTTAAGTGTTATGGCGGCCTTACTACCGGTCAGGATGACAATATTATACGATGTCTAGTCAAATATAAAAATACTGATTGACAGCGAAAATAATATTATAAATATATAAAAGGGAAAATTCTTCGCTCTATGTTGCTATTTAAACAAAAATAATAGAAACTATAACAAATGTACAAACTGTATCGTTATTTTCTTAAAACAATAATTTCAAGAAAATATCCATCATTTTAAATTTTGATGATACTCCTTAAGGATGCGTAGCTGGGTAGTGTTTATCGGCACGGAAAGTGGGATTGGTGTACCAACTTCAAATTCTAACTGAGGCGGTTGTGTTCACATTTGCACAAATACTCTTGGAAAGGTATGAATCCGGCTAGGGGTTAATAGCAGGACAGATTGGGCGCATTAGATAGCAACCGGTCTAAGAGAAGGAAAACTATGAATTCAGAACCCATTAGGCACCATCAGACTAATTGGCCTTAGATACACCCACAGCACATGTGATGCCATAACAATCCTATTTGGCTATGAGACTCATCACGTGAGCCTCTTTGAAACAACAAAATATTGTAGAACTCTTACATAAAAGTACTGTGAATTTTTTTTTATAAGCAATACACTGAATGTAGCTGAGAAGGGCTTTGTGTCTCAGTTTGAAATCCGATTTCACATTTTATTTGGTGAGTTTAAAACAATCCAATAAATTGGGTCAGTTGCGAGTGAATCAAATGTTTTTCTACAAAAACTGAATTAGAAGAAGGTCAAGGCCATTGTTGTAGTTTATCGCTGAAATGCAATAATTTGTAGTTACATCAAGTATTGAACAGGGGATTTTCATTCCATTATTCTGATTAAAAAGAAAGCAGGTTCTAAACATAACAGTTCCACACTTGTAAAATCTTCAGTATTGACATAACCGAGAAGAAAATGTGGTGCTACTATCTATCGAGGTATTTGCGACCTACTGTAAATGACGATGCAACCGCTATTGTTGGAAAATGCCCAGGAAAAATGATGACCTGTTAACTGTTTTTTTAAAAATTACATCAAGTCAGATTACAAACATTAAAATCACTATTTGATGATTTTTCAAAAAATTTTTGTATAAAAAATTGTTTATGATTTTTAATACATAACCATTTTACTGTTCACTGCCTTTAACCCTCACCCTAACATTAACCCTGACTCCTAACCCTAACATATTTTATACTTCCAGTAGTTGGTAAATATCATGCTATATTAGAAAATGGACGGTAGATATAGTAGCACTGAAAATGTATTTAATCAAATATTTAATCTTGAAATTATTTTTAGTACAATATTAATTTTTATTATAAATGCTAATATTGTTTGGTTGATTGAACTAGCAAATAAGTCTGATTGTTTAATTGTATGAATGTTTTGCGATATCTGATTGCATTAAATTTCAATGTGATTGAAATACTCAAAGAAAAAGAAACTGCTGAAGAAAAGTCTTCTATTTTTTGATATTATGGAAGGCTGAACATGATAAAAGTCAAAGTTGGGGTTGTTAATTGCGTTACAAGCAGTAAAATTTGCCTTTTCTTGTAAAATGCAAAAAATGTAAGAGGTGCAAAGTGCAATAACTGTATATTAATTATTTCTGATGAAACTTTCCAATGACAGATTAAAGAAGCTACTCACCTTTGAGTTTAGAAAAACAAAATAAAGTTGTGCAAATGTAAACGTCAGGTGCAAAATGGGTAATAACCTCTGCAAAATATTGATGCAAGGGGACCGGAAATCCAGTTCGAAGAACTCTCCAAACTGAAGACCACTTTTAATCATGCTGCCGATTCCAAAACCTGAAAAAGGAACACAGATCAACACAAGGAAGAGAATCGATAAAATAAATATAGGAAAAATAGAAAATTCAAACAGGCTTCTTATTCTTCTTGTTCGCATTCAGTAATACGCATTTTGTTGGCAAATGAAGTAAATCCATATGCAGGAAACAAATCCGAATTTATACAGAAATATTTATAAATTAGATCTCTTAATATAATGATCGAACCAGATAATGATAAATTAAGGTAGTTATAAAAGTGTTTTTGGCAATATCGTGTCCATCTGATATAATATATTAAATAATTACAAATTTAAGAATAGTTATAGAAAATAATGTTGATCTAGAATGAACAAGTCAAGGAATTAGCTTTCAGCTTTATTTAATTCTCAAGCTATTCTGAAAATGGTGGAAAAGTGGGAAAAGAAAAAAAATGAATGGTCATTAATAAGACGTGTTGCTTAGATTGCTAGGTCTTGATTGTTTTTTTTTTATTTGCATTAATATCATGTGGAAAAAAAATGAAGCTGAATGTTAATTTGAACGTGTATTCCCTAAAATATCTTAATTGCTCATTCTCTACGCTGGATTGCCAGGATCAAACTGTCTACACCTATTCGAGGGTCTGATCAAGAATTTAGATTAATTAAGATTAAAAATTAATGCGATGATTTTAATGATTTTCAGACTTGCAAATGAATCACATCAGATTTTCCAGATGACACACTTTAATGACATATAACAAAGAACATTTTAAGTGACACTCAAGACTAGTGTAAATTACTAATAATTACACTCTGTACTTTTCAAACCCATGAGCATTCCCAGATAACTATAAGTGACAAATTTTCTCTTAAAATGCTGAAATGTCTTCAACAGGCCGTGAGGTTACGAAAAATGATTTAAAAACATCTCACTACAAACAACTGCCTTTATTTAAGATGACCCCGACACCAATACCTCTCTGTGTCGCACTCACTACGTCCATATATCGCTTTCTGTTTTTCTCTCGGACGTTCAACACAGTCTGGGTTCCCCCAGTCTGTAATAAATTCAGGAAAAATTTAAAAATTTATTTAAAAAAATGAAGAAAAATTTTAATTTCAAAAGGTCATTTGCAGTTCAGGTGTGAATTTGTTCTCAACAGATATTTGGGTCACAAAGCATGATTTAACCCCTCACTATAAACAACTGCCTTTCTCCAAGATGAATTCCAATCCCATCCCTCTTCGTGTTGCACACTCTTTTTATTTCTATACGTCCTTCTTTCTCTTTCTATTTTACTCTCTATGTCCCCCTCTCTTTCTGTTTCTCCCGCAGACGCTCAACACAGCCTGGGTTTAATAGGATTTTTATTAGAAAAACGTCATTTATTTTTATTGTTGCAAAATGATTATAATTGTTAATGAAATATTTTAATTTCAAAAGGGCACTTGCAGTTCAAGAGCGAATTTCTCCTCAACAGATCGTTAGGTCACGAAACATGATTTAACTCCTCACTATAAACAACTGCCTTTATCTAAGATGACCTCTCTCCAGTCCCTCTCTGTGTTGCACTCTCTTTTTGATTTTCTACGCCACTCTCTCCTCTTTTTTTACTCTCTATGCCCCCCTTTTTTTTTTCTCTCTCAGTATCTGTGATGCCAACCGTGACACACAACATGCATAGGTACAAGGGTATTAACATATAGATACATTTTCTAATGTCACCTCAAACTTCTGACAAATTTACTTGTCTTTCACAATGAAAGACATGTAAATCTGTCAGAAGTGGAAATGCCATTTTGAAATCTATTGTTATCATTGATTAACTGGCACTGGAATATTTCTTGAATGTCATGTTTCTTATAAAGTGTCTTTGGTCAAATTAAAAATTGTAACTCGTTTGCATATAGGTCAACAAATTGTTGAAACTGAAGAATTTTAGGTGTCAGCAAATTTACGGCACATGCGTATTTAATATTAAACTGTAGTCCCAAATAAGTTGGTAGATGAAAAATATTGTTCAAAGAATTTCTCATTGATTTAACGATTAATTTTTTAAACATTATATGGTTTTCTTTGAATTACACTTTTTGTAAGAAAAGCTGCTTGATTGAATTGAACTGTACTGAATTGCAAAAGCATTGTATCTCATTGCTTTTTGAAAGTGGATCACTGTATTTTATTATATAAAAGATTTACGTACCAACAGCGCCAAGTCGAAGGTAGAAACTTCCCCGTGTCGCTGATAATTTTGTATCGCATGCGGTAATGCATGTTATCATCTGATTTCCGGAATTTGGTCATACCGCCCAGAGTTCGCGTATGCAGGATGTAGACATAAGCATAGAGTAGGAACAGGATACTCATACCGAAAAGGTAGAAATAGAAACCCTAAAATCAAAGAAATGAGAAAAGAAAAAATGTGCCTGACTTAACGAATAGAATTAACTCGAGTGTTGTCCGTCATTTGACATTATTTTAATTTTGGGAATATATTTTTTACCATCATGCCGTAGTGTCATCTTATGTTACACAGGTAACTATAATTTGTAAATGTCTTTGTTTTTTTTTTTTGCAAAAAAATGAAGTCAATATCAATATTTAAAATAAATATATTTATTAAATTAATGTAAAATTTAAAAAAATCAACTTTTTTTATTTGCAAATACGTTACAAATACTCAATAAAACTGTTCCATATCAATAACAATAGTACATTTTCGCTAGCAATAATATTTTATTTACATTACTATTGCAATAATATATCATGATAAACGCTCACATTTAGATTTCATATATTTTTAAAATTAAGAAGCCTCTAGGTAGTTCAACGACAAACTTTTCTGATGTTAAGTACACAAAATGACTTTTATTTATTTTTACGACTAACTTTCTGCTATTTTCTTGCAATTAAAACCAAAATTAAAACTCCAGAAATTTTTTAATTTATTTAAATTATTGCAACGCGCTTTAAATATTTTCTTTATAAAACAAGTACGTTATAAAATTTTTTTTACTTATTAACATTAGAGAAACCAACCGCCATTTTGTTGATCCACAACATCCATGTATAGAGACTCTAAAATAGTCTAAAAATCTGTTTTTAAGTAGGCAAAAATAATTTTTCTTTTTATATCATTGCATCTGGATATATTTGGGAGTTTTGTATGCAAAATAATAAAGACGTCTGATAGACTCTTCTAGATATATACAAAAATATCGTACCACGTTTTGGGTGTTACAATGCAGTGGACTCTAGATCTTACGGGATAGATTAAAAAGATATGTTCAATACTGAAGTTTGAGAACTAACCAATACTAATTGACTGATTCATTTTCTACGATTTATTAATCCTTTGCAGGTTATTTAAAGGCAGATTTTTTTAGATTGTAAGAATTGTTTTTATTATTATAATTAATTAATAATATAATTTTAATAATGATTTAGTGATATAAGTCTTACTAGTTGACTCAGAACTGGGGCTAGAAGAGGTGGATTCATACCTTTACCAATGGTATTTGCACATAACGAACCTAACTGGAATTGGAACTTGACTCACCGATTAATAATTCCAAAGCATTACACCACCCGCATATCCAAGTACTTGACATTCAAGTACAATGTATTCTTCTTATTTTAAAGAATTCACGAAACAACTTAATTTTGGAGAGTGATAAAGGAAAGGAAATTTACCATAGATAAAGATAATTGACCTCTGTTTCTTCATGTTTGTATAAGTGTGTATTTATTTGTTAATCTTTCAGATATTCATGAGCAAACACTTATGAGTTTTTAAAGACTTTAACGACACCTCATGAAGACTATTTTGAAACCTTATTTAATTATAAGAGAAAAAAAATTTTCAGTGGTAATGTTCCATTTTATTTCAAATCCATTTGGAAAGTTTAGTATTGCGCGGAAATTGCATCGATAATCAAAGAACATATATTATTCCAAATTGAACGTTGAGTTCAATTTGACACAAACAAAAAAATCAAAAGAAATAAGACCTTAATACTTTTAGCAAATAAAAATATCTAATAAATAAGGAATATTTATGATTAATAAATTAGGAAAGCAAGAAAATAAAAATCATAAACGCCAATTTACCCAATTGGACCTTACCCATAATAACATAATGGACTATTCCATACGTAATAAATACTGCGCCTCAAGAGGAAGCAGAGAGTTCAGTCGGAAGTCTGGAGTGAAGTCCGTCAGAAGTCAGTCAGTCAGTCAGTCAGTCAGAGCGAGCGAGTCAGTCAGTCGAGTCAGAGGCAGTCCGAAACAGAGTCGCGTTCAGACAATTACTACTAAACCTGATTGTTCGTACTAACACTTTCTACTTCTCTGTATATATTCCTGTTTGTAATATATTTGTGTTATTTCATATCCGTGTTCGAGTTCTTCTTTATTGGTTCTACATTGGACTATCACCGTGGTACAAGGAACCGGACCATAACAGTGGCGACGAGGAAACCAACTCTCTACGCGGAGGACATACCTTTTTTTTTGCTATCCGTCGCGCATAACAAGTGGCGACGAAGATTCGAACTCTCACGTGAAGAACAAACAACAAAATCATTTCTCGTCAACATAACAAGTGACGACGAATTACCCCTAAAAAGGAAATACGAACTCTATACACGAAGGACTTATTTTTTTGCTATACGTCACACATAACAAGTGGCGATCTGGAAAACCCTTAAAGAAAAATAAACTCCCTACTCGGAGGACATTTTTTTTTTGCTATCTGTCGTACGTAACAGTGGACGACGATTAAATTCTAAAAAAAAAAAAAAAAAAAGATAAAAAGAAATATTTTCTTTCCTTGATATCAAATTTCACTGACAGCAAAGGAAAGTTTATTTTGCGAGCAAAGACTACAGAATATCAGGTTACACACAAAAAAAAAAACCTAAAAAAGAACCCGTTAACATGGAAGATCTTAAGTCAACCATTATGGAACTTATCAAAATCCAGTTTGAACAACAACAAAGGTACGAACAAAAACATTTGGAAATGCAAGAATTATTGATACGTGCAATGGCAAATAAGGAGCAAAAACCCGAGAACGAATCAGTTCTCTCTCAAGACGCTATTTGGAGTAATATCGATGATTTCAAGTACGCACCCGACGAAGAAAAAACTTTTGCAAATTACTTCCGAAGGTATGAAGATCTATATGATTTTGACTGCAAAGATTGGTCAGACGCACGTAAAGTACGCCTTTTATTAAGAAAATTATGCACATGGGAATATACCAAATTCGTTGATTATATCTTTCCCAGAAAAACAAGCGAGTTAACGTTCAAAGAATCTATAAAATTGCTAACGGAACTTTTCAGCCATAATACTTCACTATTTCATAAAAGATGGAAATGCATGAACCTTACAAAAAAGGATAGCGAAGATTACGTAACTTTCGCATCCATTGTTAATAAATATTGTGACGACTTCAAATTATCGGAACTCAGCGCTGACAACTTCAAATGCTTAATTTACGTCCAAGGTCTGGTTTCAACCAAAGACGCAGAAATGAGACGTAGAATACTTACTAAATTGGAAATGAACAAGATCTGACACTTCAAAAAACTAGCCGAAGACTGCCAGAGATGCGTCAAAAAAAAAAAAAAGACTCTAAAGACATAGAACAAGCTGGCATAGCATACATACGCAAAGTACGAAGACAAACAAATTTTCCCTCCTCACAAACAAAACAAACAAATTTTCCTCCTCACAAACAAACCGAACTGATTTTTCCCGCCTCAAGAACAGGTAAAACAAAATTTTCTAATTATAATCAACATAAAAAGAAACTACCACCAAGTCCATGCTATCGTTGTGGGTCTTGGCATTGGATTAAAGACTGTACATATCGTGCTAAAACTTGTCTATCATGTAAAAAAATTGGTCACAAAAGTTCTCACTGTTGGTATAGAAAAGAAAGCAGAATAAGAATTACGAGGACCGACCAAACAGATGAGACTAATATAAGAAAATATGTACAAGTTGAAATGCAAAACAGAAAAGTTAGGTTACAGCTGGATTCTGGCTCATAAACCTACAAACATGGAGAAAACTGAACAAACCTGTCATGTTAAAAACGGATAAAATTGCGAGATCAGTTACGGGGAGACAGATAAAATTCGAGGGTGAAATAATCACAAACGTAACATTTAACGGAATGACGAAAAAACTAAAAATGTACGTCTTAAGAAATACCGAAAACCTATTCGGGACAGACTGGATGCAAAAATTCGAATTGTAGGATCTACCTATTAGCACCTACTGCCAGAATGTAAAAAGCTTATCAACCGAGACAGACAAATTAGGAAAACTAAAAACGAGTTTCCCCGAAGTATTTTCGGCAGGTCTCGGAAGATGCAAGAAAATGGCAGCTAATATCAAAATAAAGGATAACGTTCAACCTATTTTCAAGAAAAAAAGGAGTGTACCGTTTGCGTCAATAGAAAAGATTGACCAAGAATTATCTAGACTTGAAAATACGGGCATATTGAAAAAAGTAGAGTACAGCAAATGGGCCGTACCGACGGTCTATGTTAAAAAGAAATCAGGAGAAATTGGAGTTTGTGCTGATTTTTCTACAGGTTTGAACGCAGCAATAAAGGTCTACCACTATCCGCTACCTAGTCCTGAAGAAGTATTCACTAAATTAAATGGCGAAAAATATTTTTCAAAAATTGATCTAAGTGAGGCCTACCTGCAAATTCCAGTCGATGAAGAAAGTTCAAAACTACTATGCATAAACACACACAAGGGATTGTACAGATACCAAAGAGTAGCATTTGGAATTAAAGTAGCGCCGGCTATTTTCCAGCAGACAATGGATACGATGCTGGCAGGACTAGAATACACAATAGCATATCTGGATGACATATTGATTAATAGCGAAAGCGTTGAACAACACTGGCAACATGTACAAGAAGTGTTTAAGTGAATTCAAAGCTACGGATTCAAAGTGAAAGAAAATAAGTGTGATTTTTTCATGAAGGAAATTAAATATCTTGGCCATATAATAGACCAAGAAGGTAGACGTCCAGACCCTGAAAGGTCTACAGCAATAAAAAAAGATGCCAGTTCCTAAGAACAACAGAACTACAAGTTTTCTTGGATTAGTGAATTACTACCAGGAATTCATACCTCAAATGCATAAACTTCGCGCACCACTGAACGAACTGCTAAAGAAAGAAAAAGTTTGGACAGATCAATGCCAGGAAACATTTGAAAAAATAAGCAAGACATTAACATCGGATTTATTTTTGGCACACTATGATCCTAAACTAGAGATTATTGTAGCAAGTGATGCGAGCGCCTACGGTGTCGGAGCGTGTATATTACATAAAATGCCAGATGGGACAATAAAACCT